TGAAATCATTCTGTTTATTTCTGTAATCTAAACCCCCATGTTTGTTCTTACTATCCTTTAAAATGTATAGTTATAAATACTTGCATGAGACCATCTGATTCTGGTCTCTTCTGTTGTGCAATAACCACACTACTGGCTCTGCACAATGTTCCTGATGGGCACAGCTATATCTCCACTGAACTCCTGAGAGTATGAACATTTCACAAACCACCACTAAACTCTGTGTGATTGTTAAGTCCATTCAGAATTGTGCAAGTTCTCAAGTGACAGCCAATCATGCTACAAGCATGTTCTTTCCTTTCATCACATCTGAAGATCTGGTCTTGCTATATTCTGCCACTCTTGAATTGGGTAGTCATTTTGGGAAAGGGACAAAGAAACAAGCTTTGGAATAATAAATGAATCATTGATCCCAGATCCAGGATGGGATTTGATCAAAACTTAAGAGATAATAGAATACCTATCTTTTCCTACAGGCTTAGTGTCAATTTATAACTATGAACTTTAATCTTATGTCCTACGGGGAGGCCTTGCTCTCGACCCCGCCTCTATCACAAGTGAGGCTGGCGGGGACGAGGAGCAGGGCCTTCTCGGTGGTGGCCCCTCACCTGTGGAATTCACTCCCCGGGGAGATTAGATCGGCGACTTCCCTCTTGTCATTGAGAAAAAAATTGAAAACTTGGATGTAGGACCAGGCATTTGGACGTTCTGGCAGCTAGAGGAAGGACCTTGATGATGGACAGGAATTGACTGAACGGAATGGATTTATGGAACTCTGAACACTGAGCATGAGATTAGTTTACTGATTGTGTTATGTACTGATGATTTTAACCTGTTAATTGTTTAATTGCTGTTTTGTATGTATGTATATTTGACATAGGCATCGAATTGTGCCTTCTTTGTAAGCCGCCCTGAGTCCTCCCTCAGGGGTGAGAAGGGTGGGGTAGAAGTAATCGAAGTAAATAAATAAATAAATACATTTACTGTATTCTAATCCTTATTCTATGTATTTTAATATATGCATTTTATAGAAATATGTTTTAATATACCAGCCTATATTTTACACAATATTTTATGATTGTGTCTTTAAGTGTGTTGTGCCCTGCATTGAGCTTCAAGGAGAGGCGTAAGAAGGTTTTATAATAATAATAATAATTTTTTTTTGTTATTATCATCATCCATAACTATGTAAAATCTTGTGAATATCTATATCTACAGTATATTGCATGAAAAGACTCACCCTAGTTTTCTCATTAACTGGAATTAGACTCTGAAGAAATTCTGAGTAATGTGACAGGTTGATGATGCATCTTTCTGGGAATAAAAGAATAAGATGAATTTCACATGCTTTCATTCCCTTGACCTGAACTTGACCCAAACAAATTAAGGCAGCCAGGGATTTTGCTTCAGACAAAGCTCGAACTTGACATTAAACTTACGTTTTTGCCTTGGATGGAGATAATAGAAACTGGGTGTTTACAAAAATATCAACCGAACATCTTGTTTTAGGCAGGAAACCAAGTGCTTAACTATAAAAAGCATGGTTGAAGATAAATAGTAAAGAAAGAAAGAAAGAAAGAAAGAAAGAAAGAAAGAAAGAAGGAAGGAAAGAAAGAAAGAAAGAAAGAAAGAAAGAAAGAAAGAAAGAAAGAAAGAAAGAAAGAAAGAAAGAAAGAAAGAAAGAAAGAAAGAAAGAAAGAAAGAAAGAAAGAAAGTTTTTGTAGCAGAAGGCCAGTGTGATGTAGTGGCTTGAATTTTAGTCTGCTTCCATGTTTGTTTCAGGGAATCATGCTTTGTGAAGGGTCAGAAAGTTGGATCAGGACCAGACCTTGTAGTGCTTATTCTTCAAAAATAGAAGGGTGGCAGACCAAGGCTATCTCTGCCACCAAGGTGTCACAATAATGTGCCTTGTCTTGATGAATCGTGGCCAATACCCTCGTTATAAGGGTAATGGTAGGAAAGGCTAGAGAAATGCGCCCACTAGAGCCGGGGTTTGCAAACTGTGATCATGGAGCTCTTGGTATTATAGTGAGGGATTTCACAGCACCATGCTGTTTCCCACCTCCTCCTCTTCCCACCACCTCCTCCTCCTGAGAAATTCATGGCAATTAAAGTCGGGAGCTGCCAAAACAGCAGCAACAACAGCATTGTCCTCCCGGGGCACAGACCCTTTCTCCCTCACTTCCTGGGTGCTTTTTCTTACTGCTGAGACCCTTCTTTGCTTATGTTTATGTTGGTTAAAATTGTTCTTCATTTTAAATATTGTAGTGTTCTTTCTTTCTTTCTTTTTGTTTTTGCACTACAAATGAGATATGAGCAGTGTGCTTTGGAATTTGTTCATTTTTTTTTCCAATTAGTTAACATAAACACTCTCCATCCATCTGCCCCCGGCATGGCCTGTCCATCAAAATTTGAAATGCAATGTGGCCCGTGTCCAAAAGTTTGCCCATGACTGATATATATACAGTATATATAATATAATATAATATAATATAATATAATATAATACAATATATAAAGATTTATTGTGGCTCCACATTTGCTTCAAAAAGGGCTCCACAGCTGAAAAAGTTTGAGAACCGCTGTGCTAGGGTATTGTCTTCCCTGGGAAGATGGATTGCCACCAGAGCAGGGTGATGGCTAACACTCCAATCCAAGACCTCTATGACAAGAGTAAGGTGACTGTGGGACTGCATGCTTGATGTTAAAGAACAGTGGTGGAGTTGCTCATTATTATCTGCACCACTCTGTCCTTCAGTATAGTTTTGAAAGACATCAGTGTAGAGTTTGAGATTGATGTGCTTCTCAACTGAGACCACTTTCTCCTCATGATAAGTCCTTTGCAATGGGTTCCCTAGCCCTGTAGAGCTACTTACATCATTATCAATCAATGCAATGGATGACAGAGGATGTCGGCCCAGATGTGAAACTTAACCATCCATCATCATAAGAACCCAACAATTGGCTTTGCAACTGATGAATTTTTGGGAGGGAGGATTTCTGTATAGGTCTAATACCTGGAGAAACCATGACTGCAGAGTCCTAAGGTGAAGTCCTGCCAATGGGGTGACGGATGGTAAGGCAGAGAATGTTCTCAGATGAACAAATCTTGTAACTAGGGGCTTTTCCACACAGCCCAATATCCCAGAATATCATGGCAGAAAATCCCGCATTATCTGAGTGTGGACTCAAATAAACCAGGTAAAAGCAGATTTTTGGGATTTTCTGCCTTGATATTCTGGGATATAGGGCTGTGTGAAAGGGCGCTGAGAGCAAAAGATTCCAAACATCATTTGCCAATTCAAATGTTCTTTTATTAACAACAGCTTGATATAGTGGATTACCTAAGGGCCTTTTCTAGCAACAGGGTGTGAGGAACAACATTCAGTACCACCCTGTAAACTGCTTATGAAAAATACAAACAGTAGGTTGTTTTGTAGCAGCTAGAGCCTTGGGGTACAGAAGTGTCACACGTGCTTTTGGAAACAGCAACCAACCTTCTTCAAGCCTCCACTAGTGGTTTATTTGTATATAATTCAGATTGCTAACTGTATTGCATATGTGTGTATTGGTATAAAGTTTTCCCTAACTCTTTGTTGTGTAAGGGGTTGCAGACCATGTGACCAGATCTGGAACTATTCAGGACTCAGACTCCATTTTAAAAACAGTATGTTTTCAGATGCCAGTAGAAGCAGTATGCTTTTAAAAGTCAGCAGAAACAGAATGCTTTAGGAAGACAAAGACTCCAGTGGACTTTCTTACTAGACAGAGACTCCATTAAACTTTCAAGCCAAAGAGTTGCTTTAGAGGCTATGTACTGTTAAGACTATAAGAAAGATGCCCTGTTATCTACACAAACTACTTCAAATCCTATTTGTAACTGGATTGATAAGAAATGCACCACTATGCTAAATAATTGAAGTTTGTGAGCAAACTAACTATGTTACTTTTAAAGAAGTCTACTTTTTTGGTCTCTTGAGAGCATGATTTAAACCAGGGGTCCTCAAACTAAGGCCCGGGAGCCGAATGCGGCCCTCCAAGGTCATTTACCTGGCCCTCGCTCAGGGTCAACCTAAGTCTGTAACTACTTGAAAGTGCACAACAACAACAACAATCCTATCTCATCAGCCAAAAGCAGGCCCACACTTCCCATTGAAATACTAATAAATTTATATTTTTTAAATTGTTCTTCATTTTAATTATTGTAGTGTTTTAAGTGTTTTTGCTCTACAAATAAAATATGTGCAGTGTGCATAGGAATTCATTCATGTTTTCTTTCAAATAATCCAGCCCTCCAACATGTTGAAGGACTGTGACCTAGCCCTCTGTTTAAAAAGTTTAGAGGACCCCTGATTTAAACCAAGAGGTTTTATAGCAGAGTAGATGTTTTGGGGCAATTGGAGAGAACACTTCTGAAACTCTGCTATGTGTGTTTGTTGAGCACCGGTATATCTTTGTCCCGAACAGTTTGAAGAGATGTCTAGGTATATCAGTTTAACAGTTGAGAAACCCAATGGCCTTGAAGTTATGCTGGTGGAGATTTACCACTAAGTAGAAAGTTGACTCAAGTGAGTTTTTAACTCTTCTCAAGGAGATCCCTGATTTTCCCAAATGGTAATGAATGTTATTTTACAAATTGTTATGGAGATTTCCATTTCCCAAAAGGTTATGGCACCATTTTTTTCCAAAAGGTTATGATTTCTAACAAGGTCGTGCCTTTCCAAAACTTGCTGTGATTGATCGATTTTAACTCCTGTTAGTCATCCAGAAATCCATCTGCTTTTTGCCTTCTAGCCTTATGGTATCAAGACGTCTTGTAATGAATTCAGTATGAAAGCATCCCATTACTATGTGTTGTACACACGCTATCTATCTCAGTAGTTAAATGAGTAAGTTGTAACACAATGTTACAGTTGGTGCATTAGAGCACTTTGATTTTATCTTATGGAATGTTTCAGTACATAAAAGGTTTAGAAAGGAAAACGGACAAAGGAAATAAGTTTATTTCTGTAAACTTTAATCTTTGTACAGTAGAAACATACAGTACTTGTCATAAGTATACAATTTGTATAATGATGCTTTCCAATACAATGAAAAGATAAAACTTAAACCCCTGAAAAATTGTGCACTTTCTCAAAGTTTTAGCTTTGCTTTGCACATTGTTTAGAGTTTACATCAGGCAATAATTCTATAAGAATCATTTACTACATTCCTCTTCTGCACAAGCTTGGCACAAATTAGCCTGTGACCAAAACCAGATTAACCATATAGCGTAAAAGAGCAATAGCTTAGCTTGCATTGAAGTAATTTTTTTTAAAAAAATGTAGCACTTGCTGTTGCAGAGAATAGCTTGGAAATGCTTAGGTTTCATATATAGAAGTCACCATCAAATGGCATCTGGTGAGAAGGATGGGGTTGAAGTTTCAGGCTCCTTCTACACTGCCATATAAAATCCACATTATCTGCTTTGAGCTAGATTCGATGGCAGCGTAGACTGATATAATCCAGTTCAAATAGATCATGTGGATTATCTGCTTTGATAGTCTTGATTACATGGCAATGTAGATCCAGTCTCAATGTCTAGTATAGCTTCTTGATCTCTCTCCAGCTGATCTCCCTCTTGACCATATCCATATTAGCGATGTTTCCCTTGTCTTCTCACACACTAAGTTCTTGTTCATCTTGTTTTAAAATGATTTTTGAGAAGTACCAAACAAGACAAGGACTTTGGTAGAGCAATGAACATGAACAGTGCATATTAGAAGTAGCAACTTAGTTGTAGAAGAGGAGGGTGACATGATGGAACTCATAACAACTGTCAATTTTCACACACTTCTCTTACTTTATTCCATTGAGGTGTGCAGCTACATGGCTTTTATTGTGTGCGCACACAAAAACAAATATATACACAAGAAGAAATCCTGAATTTCACTTAAACACTTAGCTGCACTCTAAATACTAAAGAAAGTATAAAGCAGCAACATTGATGCCCACTCAGATAAATTATGCCCAGCCCCCAGATTGTCGTTTGCAGGGGTTGTATTAACAAAAGCAGAGAAACTCCCTGTTCTTCACAAGGCTTGAAATATTCGGTGTAGACTTTCTAGGCTTTCCATTAATTGTTGGAGATATATTCCCCAATTCAGGTGATTGAAAAGGGACATCGCAAAATTGGTTTTAGAATGAAATGGTTCATATGAAAAGGATTTCCTTTACACAATATATGTTCCCTAGTAAACATCGGAGGCCCCTTCTACACTATCATATAATCCAGATTATCAAAGCAGACAAACCATATTATCTTCTTTGAACTGGATTATATGAGTCAACACTGCCATATAATCCAGTTCAAATCAGATAAACTGGATTTTATATGGCACTGTAGAAGGGGCCTGAGGCTTGAGTTGTGTTTTCTTCCTTGAGCAAACTACTCTTGCTTAAAGTATTTTGCATTCCCATGACTAGAGATGCAAGCTTGGCCCAAGCATACAAATAATGCAGGCAAAAGGATGAATTATTCGTGTTATCTCCCGCGCTAAGGCTGCCAGCACCATTCTCCTTTCCTTGCATTTAATCACTATTTTTCCTTTTGAGAATAATAATTTCTCAATTTATGTTCATTTAACTTAAGGCCCTTGCAAAGCAAATGCATTATTTCACATTTAAACAAGATTGCCAGGAGTTCAGCTTTAGATAAGATCAGATTAATGCTGCAATTCATCAACTATATAAAAGCCAAGAGTCTAGCTGTGTAAACCCCATAAAAGTCAAGGCTAGAGTGGAAGGACTAAATCCAAAAGTGTATTTTGTAGACAGAAACCATATTGAGCTGCTAAGTGTCTAACTCTAATTAAGCATAAATATTTTGCTTAAACCCTAAGAATGATGATGAATTTGAGATTCGTTCATACACAACTGTCATAAAACTATATGAAATAAAATAGGCAAAAATCTCATAAAACTGCAATGGCTTGAATTATGAAGTAGCGTCATTGGAGCCTGGTTGTTGTTGACTATAGGCAAAGCACTGGCTCAACCATTTGTATTTGTTCAACTTGCCATAGTCATGGCATTACTGTCACTGTAAAAGAGGTATCTGAAGTTCTAGAATAAAATGAGTTTGAATTGTGTCATGATGATATTCCTCAGTTTGGTTTACATAACTACTTCAGGTTCTATGTTAAATAATAAATCATCATTTCCTCTTCTAACTTCAAGTAGTAGAGGTGATTCATTCATCACTGCGTCTTGCAGGTCAGCAGAAGTCTTCAGTGGACGTCCATTCACCTTCACAATGATATCACCATGTTCAATTCCACCTCTGTGGTCAAGAAAGAAGTGGTTGTAATATGAACTTCATTGATTCTATATACAACTGTACTGGAAATGGCCTAAAAAGTAGAATCTCAACACAAATTTTGGAGATATTTGCCAATAAACAGAGTGTGGGTTGTTAGAATCCAGCAAAATTGGGGGGAAAGCAGATCCTGGCTCTAACATGGATAAAGCAAGTTGCCAGGATGCAGCTAGCTGCCCCATTATATCTTAACTTGCAGAGGAAAGGAAAGCATGAGAGTTCTGATTGAGGTTAAACATCCTTTATCCAGAATTCCAAAATATTCCCAAATCTAAAACTGTCCACATGGGTGGCTGAGGTAGTGATATTTCTGATGGTTCGATGTATCTAAACTTTGTTTCATGCAAAAAATATTTAAAATATAGTATACAGAATTACCTTCAGGCTATGCATATATAGTATATACCTGAGTATAAGTCTAGTTTTTCAGCCCTTTTTAAGGCTGAAAAAGACCCCCTCGGCTTATATTCGAGTAAAAGTTATTTATTCGTCTTCTTTTTATTATTTTATTATATTTATTATTTTACTGTATTATTATTATTACATGTATTGTTTTACTGTATTATTATTGTTATTATTACATTTATTACCTTACTCTATTATTGTTGCATTTATTATTTTACTCTTATGATTACTGTTATTATTACATTTCAATTATTTTACTCTATTATTTTTATTACATTTATTATTTTATTTATTTATTATTTTTATTTATTTCGGACATTTCTACCCCGCCCTTCTCACCCCCTAGGGGGGACTCAGGGCGGCTTACATCCGGCACAATTCGATGCCAACAATTACAATAAAATGCAATAACAATAACACAATAGTTAAAAACATACAATTAATACAATATCAACTAAAAAACCGCTCTATAGCCCATGTTCATCGAGTTCTAAAATCCGTCAATCCATTTAGCATTACCATAGTCCTTTCCAACTCTAGTCATCATTACCTTTTTAATCTGCCAGATTACCCAAATGCCTGGTCCCATATCCATGTCTTCAGCTTCCTTCTAAGGAAGAGGAGGGATGTTGACGACCTGATTTTCCCGGTGAGTGAATTCCACAGGCGAGGGGCCATCACTGAGAAGGCCCTGTCCCTCGTCCCCACCAGTCTCACTTGTGATAAAGGTGGGACCGAGAGCAGGGCCGAGAGCAGGGCCTCCCCAGAAGATTTTAAACTCCATGGTGGGACATAGAAGGAGATACGTTCGGACAGGTGCACTGGGCCGGTGCCATATAGGGTTTTATAGGTCAAAACCAGCACTTTGAATTGTGCTCGGAACTGGATCGGCAGCCAGTGGAGCTGACGTAGCAGAGGTGTGCTCCCTGTATGACGCTCCGGTGATTAATCTGGCTGCCGCCCGCTGGACTAGTTGAAATTTCCGAACAGTCTTCAAAGGCAACCCCACGTAGAGTGCATTGCAGTAATCTATTCGGGATGTAACAAGGGCGTGGACCACTGTGGCCAGAGCAGACTTCCCAAGGTACGGGCACATTATTCTCTTTATTATTATTGGAAGGATATGTAAGCACATTTACACTGAAAAAGGTTGGAATGATGATGTAATCAGAGTTAGACATTCTTACCTTAAATTATAGTTTTATGTAAATATTCAAAAACATTTAACCTACTGATGCCTCAATTAATGTAATTTTATTGGTATCCATTTTTAGTTTGAAATTTACCAGTAGCTGCTGCATTTCCCAACCTCAGCTTATACTCAAGTCAATATGTTTTCCCAGTTTTTTGTGGTAAAATTAGGTGCCTTGGCTTACATTTGGGTTGGCTTATACTCAAGTATATATGGTAAATTGTATATATTGTGTTTGATATCTCCAAGATATCTCATTATGTAAGTGCAGGCAGTTCCCAAGATAGGTTCTGTAGATTTGTTCTTGAGTTGGATTTGTTTGTAAGTCAGAACAGGTTATACTCACAATCTCTCTTTCTTGAAGGGATAGAAATGTTAAGCTACAACTGTTACCTGTAGTCTATTATACAAACATAAGCATAGTAAAAGTAGTTTGAGTTGCATAAATTCCAAAACTAGTCACTGTCCTATGGGACTTTAAAAAATCTGGATATTTTTTGTGTTTCAAACACACATATTTTAAACACCATAATTTGCTTAAGGTTGGGAATAGCTGACACTAAAGCACAACACCTAAAAAAAATGAAAGACCAGTTAAGTGTACTTGATGACTCTTCAAAGCAGGTGTGCATTCATTCATTTTTGTTGGATTTAGTATATTTCGAATAGAGAAATGGCTTTTAATTTGGGACCAACATACCTTTGTGATGGTGAATTTGGAACAACTTCATGGACATAAATTCCACTAATGACATCTGGAAAATCTGGATTATTAACCTTAAGTTCTTCCACTAGCCTAAAAAAATGCATATTGTTATTAAAATAAGTGAATCATTTCATAACCACAGCCACCTTCCGTATTCACAGGCAAATATCCTCTATTATAATTGCTCTTCTAGCAGCAGCTTTTGAAAAACCTAAGATTTCTACTCCATTTTAATTGAATTTCTACCCCAATTTAATATCCTAATTCAAAAACAACAGTTTATAAAAATTTCATTTAAAAGTCAGTCATTTTTTTCATATCAGGAACAACTTGAGAAACTGCAAGTTGCTTCTGGTGTGAGAGAATTGACCGTCTGCAAAGACATTGCTTAGGGAACACCCGGATTTTTACCATCCTGTGGAAGGCTTCTCTCATGTCCCCGCATGAAAAGCTGGGGCTGACAGATGGGAGTTCACCCTGCTCCCCGGATAAATTTGAGGCCTAAACCACAGGCAACACGGACATAAAGGACAAGTCAGGACATTCTGTATATAAGTACAATAGAAAGACTTACACAGGTGTGATGGTCAGCATCCTTATGCCAATAAATCTTTTCTTCCCATCTGGAATAAAAATCAATAATACTCGTTAAGACACTTCTAAAGATCATAGAATCATAAGAGTGGTCAGCTTCTGATCAAAGGAAATTTAATGTAATGCCAAGTTTTTAACTTTGTTTGTGGGTTTTCTATACAATATAAGTGTATTCTCAATTCGCTTTTGACATGATAAATAAAACCATATAACTTCAAGGTTGAAGGGTTGCAAATGTAATATAATCAAAGGATCAAGGAGGGATACATATTTTGCAATTTGCTGATTTGGTGTCTTTTTAGAACTTTTTAAAATAATCTTTATTGAAGTTTTCAATATACAATTAAAACCAAAAAAAGAAGAGAAAAGAAAAAAAGAAAAAAGAAAGAAAGAAAGAAAAAAGTTGAGATAGAAAGGCAAGGCAGTTATTTTGACTTCCCGGTATCTTCTAAAGGTCCGTTTCTTTTTCTCTCTTCTTCCTCTCTCCCACCGTCTTCTGTTTCTTATTTGTTCCTTCCTCTCTCCTCTTAATCTCTTGCCTTGTTTTTACTAATTTAATTTTTTTAAATTATTATTATAAGATCTTGTTTCTTTCTTTGCAGTATTCAGTTACTTTTTCCCAATTTGTTTCTTTCATGTTTATTCCTTTACTTTTTGATACAAGAAAAGTAAGCCTATCCATGTTCTTGATCTCCAATATCTAAGCTAATCGTTCATTTTCATCTGGGATTTCTTTTTGCTTCCATCTTCTCACATAGCAAATTCTATCAGCCATCGTAATAAAAAATAGTAGCTTATCCGTGTTTTGTTCTATGTCTAGTCCATGCGTTCCTAGCAAGAATAGTTCTGGTTTCCATGGAATATTAATCTTCAGTATTTTTTGTAGTTCCTTCTGTACTTCTTTCCAATATATTTTTGCTTTGGGGCATGTCCACCACATGTGGAAATATGACCCTTCTATTTCTTTACATTTCCAGCATTGTGTATTCATGTTCTTGTAGCTCTTCCCTAACTTCTTTGGCATCATATACCATCTGTATGCTGTTTTAACCCAGTTTTCTTTCAAATCTATTGCATAGTTATATTTTAGTTTTTTTTCTCCAAATCTTCTCCCATTCTTCTTTCTTGATAGTTCTTCTTATGTTCTTATGTCTTATGATCGAGCATGGTCTAGTCCATGCAGTGTCTTTTTAGAACTTGATGACCCTCCATTAATTTGGATGACAGTATTGTATATGGTGGGCAATTTATAATATGTCCATTTGCTCTCCACATCATCAAGCGGCATCATTATAAAATGACTGTTGGACTGGGCTGTGGCACAGATAGCTGGGGAGCCAGCTGCATTAAATCACCACTGACCGAGAGGTCATGAGTTTGAGGCCAGTCCAGGTTGGCATGAGCTTCCGCCCATTGCTACCTATGCAGCCCCAAAGATAGTTGCATCTGTCAAGTAGGAAATTTAGGTACCGCTTTATGCGGGGAGGCTAATTTAACTAATTTACAATGCTATAAAACCTTCCAGCAGCATGCAGAAGAATGAGAAGTACTCCATCAAAGGACTCGGTGTCACAATGGACTGTGAAGCAGCAGCTCCCCGTGGCTGGAATCGAGCCAGAATCGAGCATACCCTCATGAAGCCGGAAAAGCTGGAATGTTAAATTGCCTCTGTGTTTGTCTATATATGTTGTATGTCTAATTGGCATTGAATGTTTGACATGTATATGTGCGTTGTAATCTTCCCTGAGTCCTCTGCAGGGTGAGAAGGGTGGAATATAAATACTGTAAATAATAATAATAATAATAATAATAATAATAATAATAATAATAATAATAGGTAGAATGCTAGGTGGCCCATATAATATCCTAAGGAAAGTTCTATTTTGATTTTAGCAGAGAGAACAAGGGCCACACTCACATTTATCATCAGACCGCAAGCTGTACATGCAAGCAGGATTTGTGTGTATTATTGTTAGTCCAACAGCGGAGGCAACATCTCAAAATCCTTTTTTTTTGGGGGGGGGGGGTAAATCTTTCTTGCCCTGTGTTTCTTTTCAAAATGATCACCCTACAATTTGGGGTTCTAACCATTTGCATGCTATGTTTTCATGTTATTAAAATGTAACCGAGATGGAAACAGTAATTCTTTCTGCAGCTGGTGCTCGAGTCTTTCCAGAGTTGGTTGGAATAATATCAGAAATTACCTAAGCATTCTAAAATGCTTTAATTGTATTTACTACCAAACCTTGCATCCAATCCACTGTCAAGGCAGATACTGAAATATGAACCAAAAAAATCCCCTCAAGCACCATGAAGACCGGCTGCTTTGTTGGCTGGCTCAACAGAAAAATTGGGCTCCGAGAGGCAGTTCTAGCACTTCATTGCTCCGAATCCCACAGCTTCCAAGGTGAGGACTGAGTCACCTTGGTTCAGCAGCAGCAAAGGAGAAGCTGGCGGAACTGCCTGTGAGGCTGAGCCTATTATGTGGAAAAGCACTCCCCAGGGCTATCGGTCTAACAGCATGAATGAGCATTTGCGGCAATGATTACATGAGGAAAGGAAAGGGAGCAGGGAGGCAGCTCGTGCCAAATGCAGAAGAGTAATGTGGGAAATAAGACAAAAGGCTTAAAAGGGCTTCAAGTAGTTCACCATGTATTAAGTTGTATGTGTACACAAGCTGGAACAGATGACTTCACACATGGGGAAAAAGCCACACCAGGATCAATAGAGAAAATGAACCACTATAAGATATATAAAGGTTTTCCTTTGCACAGAGCCAGGCAAGTGTACAACCACAGTGCACTACTAGGCATTTTCTAATACAGACTGTGCTCGTACGGCTGTACCAGGAGCTCCAACTTTATTTTCTTTCTGTTATCTGTTTTGCAGTCATAGGACAGGCCTCCTGTCCATCATAATTAAGCTTTGGTTCTGCCCCTTGTTCTGGGCTCTGGGAGGGAAAGGAGCCATTTTTTGGGCAGTCTCACACAAGGTAGCTAAGCTATAAGACATAGACCAGCTCGTCCCATAGAAAAGCTTCCTTTCTCAATAACGTCTGGGAATACAAAAACAGAAATTCCAGGGAAAGGTCCCAAAAGCTCTGGCTGAGAGCTCACAGCCTCTCAGCCTCACAGCAACAGAGGGAAAACAGCCCTGAAGTTTCAAAGAGGGAGGGAGGACAGCATTACAGATCCACTGAACTCCAGCTGAAATATCTTCAAGCCTCAGCTGGTTGGTCTACTCGATACCCAGACGCATTTGGAATCGGTAGTAGGACTCACACCAATGAGGCATAGATATTATAATAGACAGCCTAGGAGAGGTTAGAAAGGGTTTTTTTCTTACAGAGAAAGTACAGTTAATTAAAGTCAGGTACCAGTCCATTGAGGACTAGACTAAGAAAGCTTTGAAGTGTTGTTTGAACCTTTGAAGATTTGTTGTTTGTTCCATAATAAAGACTTTGTTGCATCATTAAAGACTCTAGAGACCATCACTTCAGAAAAATCCCTGAGAACCTCTCTTTGAGGCCCCCTGGCTTCCCACTGGGCTTAAAGTATACGTCCTATAGAAAAGTACAGCTGTTACAGGCCCAGCGCGTGACAGAACACAGACAATGAGTTTCTGTGAGTTTTCCAAACTTTTCAGCCATATTCCAGAAGCATCCTCTCCTGTCGTTTCGTCCACATCTATGGCAGACATCCTCAGAGGTTGTGAAGTTTGTTGGAAACAAGGCAAGTGGGGTTTATGTATCTATGGAATGTCCAGGGTGGGAGAAATGCCTCTTGTCTGTTTGAGGCAAGTGGGAATGCTGCAATTTATCGCCTTGATTAGCATTGAATAGCCTTGCAGCTTCAAGGCTTGGCTGCTTCCTGCCTGGGAGAGTCCTTTGCTAGGAGGTGATTAGCTTGCCTTGATTGTTTCTTATTTATTTATTTATTTATTTATTTATTTATTTATTTAAAACATTTATATTCCGCCTTTCTCACCCCGAAGGGGATTCAGGGCAGAGCATAGCATATACATGGCAAACATTCAATGCCGGGACACAGATTCACATACAATACATAAACATTAAAATAATTTATCAAAATAATAAAATATACCATTTAAAACCGTCCTAGTCATCCGCGTCAAATCATTGGCCTGGTCATCTTTCCCACTGCCGCTTTATTACCCTACCCCAAAAGCTTGGTCCCACAACAAGTTTTTACCATCCTTCAAAAGGACAGGAGAGAGGGGGCCAACCTGATCTCACCAGGAATGGAGTTCCATAGCTGGGGAGCAAACACCAAGAAGGCCCTATCACTTGTCCTCACCAATCGTGCCGGTGATAATGGCGGGACAGAAAGCTTCTTGTCTGGAATTTCCCTGTTTTTGAGTGTTGTTCTTTCACCTCCCAACAAAGGATTCTCCCAGGCAGAAAGCAGCCAAGCCTTGAAGCTGCAAAGCTATTCAGTGCTAACCAAGGTGATCGATTGCAGCATTCACACTTGCCTCAAACAGACAAGAGCTCTTTCTTCCACTCTGGACATTTCACAGATATATAAACCCTGCTTGCCTTGTTTCCAACAAACCTCACAACCTCTGAGGATGCCTACCATAGATGTGGGCAAAACGTCATGAGAGAATGCTTCTGGAACATGGCCATATAGCTCAGAACACTCACAACAACCCAGTGATTCTGGCCATGAAAGCCTTCGACAACACAATACAGACAATATTCACAGTCCAGTAATAGTGTTGCATTACAAACTTTGTTTAACTCACAAATAGTGTTCCCTCACTACTTTGTGGTTCACTTTTAGTGGACTCTCTGTTTCACGGGTTTTTGAAAATATTAATACAAAATATAAAATGTTTACATCCAGTGGAGGCCAGGCACCCCGGAAGTGCAGCAGCCTGAGGCACGGCGGGAAAGATCTACCTCCCTGGCCTGCTGCTGTCTGCATTGCTTCGAGACTCTGTTGGCAGTCCCGTAGCCAGGATTTTGATTCTGGGGGGGGGGGGGGGGGGTTTGATTTGGGGGGGGGGGGGCTCAGGATCTGCCCTAGCAAACCTTTTGTATCATTACCCCGATATCCCCATGCATATGGGATATATTGAGCATGGTGATCAGATCATGATATGAATAAACATAGCAATTTCAATAATGTACCTGTAAGGCCTTCTCATGGACCACCCCTCAAGCCCTCCCCCCACCCCCCGGCTATGGGTCTGTCTGCTGGGGTTTGTGGAGGCCAGGGAGGCAGGCAGGGACTCTTGGGATGGGCCGGGAGGGGAGGGGGGTAAGGAAGTGCAGGTAAGAAAATAATATATAAAATATATAAAATAATATATAAATATTAAAATTAATATGGTGTCCCTACTTCGTGGATTTTCACTTATTGCGGGTGGTTCTGGAACGGAACCCCTGCGATAAGTGAGGGAACACTGTATGCGATTGGAGCAGAAGTAGAGGAAAAAGGGAAGAAATGCTACTACTAAGGCCCCATCTACACTGCAATATAAAGTCCAGATTGTCTGTTTTGCGGATGAGCTCCCTTTATCAGCTCCAGCTCCTCATGCGGGGACATGAGAGAAGCCTCCCACAAGGATGATAAAAACATCAATTCATCCGGGCATCCCCTGGGCAACGTCCTTGCAGACGGCCAATTCTCTCAAACCAGAAGCGACTTGCAGTTTCTCAAGTCGCTCCTGACACAACAAAAAAAACTGCTTTGAACTGGATTATATGGCAGTGTAGACTCATATAATCCAGTTCAAAGCAGAGAATCCGGATTATCTGCTTTGATAATCTGAATCATATAGCAGTGTAGAGCCAGTCCAAGTTCTCGGAGAGGAGACCAGGAACAAGAGAAAGCACAGTAAACTCTCCTCTGCTCCCACGGTTTCCAGTACAAAGGAATTATTTGGCTAGGAGTCACCATATTTCTGGTTGCTGACGCCGGCCTTTGTATTACATGTTCAATATTAACTTTTCTCTTGCTAAACAGAAACAATGGATATACATAGTAATGTCACACAAATGTTGTCTTATCACAGTCTTAGAACTATTTCTGATTAGAATACAAGGCTTCTTTTAAGGAGATCCCCAGCTGCAGAGTAGATCAGCGCTAAAGGCTGGGAAATGTTTCTGTTTCTAATTTACTCCCACGAAGACTTCAGAGTGACCTGTGGCATCACTCTTAAAAACATTTGTAGCTGCACACTGTCTAAAGCACAGTATCCTTTTACTAGTCTCCTGCCACTATTTATCAATTTTACTATTACCTTTTTTGTCATAATTCTCCGAGAGGAACTGGGCAATACGGTCAGAAGGAATCGCAAAGGAAATCCCAGCAGTAACTTTTAAAGTATTGATGCCAATCACTTCGCCGTCCTGTTGAAATATAGACCACAGGTGCAAGTTTCTACATTATTTTAGGAAGTTCTATCTTAAAATGCATTCATCACAATTTCGGCTCTTATTCTGTTGTAGCTATAATAGGATATTCCTAGATATATATTGCTGATGGCGTTGTGTGCCTTCAAGTTTTTTTTCCTTTAACAACTTCAAGATGAACCTATCACGAGGTTTTTTTGACATGATTTATTCAGAAGAAGCTTTCTATTGCATTCTTCTGAGACAGAGAGAGCATGACTTGCCTAAGGTCACCACAAAGTTTCCATGGCTGATTCAAACCTTCATCTTCTAGCATCCTAGGGCCCTTCCATACAGTCATATAACCCAGAATATCAAGACAGATATTCTGATATAAGGGTCCCCCGGTGGCACAGCGGGTTAAACCACTAAGCTGCCAAACTTCCTGTCTGAAAGGTTGGCGGTTTGAATCCGGGGAGCGGGGTGAGCTCCCGCTGTTAGCCCCAGCTTCTGCCAACCTAGCAGTTTGAAAACATGAAATGTGAGTAGATCAATAGGTACTGCTTCTGCGGGAAGGTAACAACGCTCCATGCAGTCATGCTGGCCACATGACCTTGGAGGTGTTTACGGACAATGCCAGCTCTTCAGCTTACAAATGGAGATGAGCACCACCCCCCAGAGTCGGACTCAAATAGACTTCATGTGAGGGGAAACATTTACCTTTACCTTATCCAGGCCGAAAATCTCACAATATCTGCTTTGAACTGGGTTATCTCTAAGTCCACACTGCCATATATTCCAGTTCAAAGCAGATAATGTGGGATTTTGTTCAGCTATGTGAAAGGGGCCTAAATCCAACAATTCCACCTCTACATTACATGGAAGGTGCATATGCAAAAGGAAATCTAAATGAGTGAAGAGTATAATGTCATGCAAGACTCTTTGGTATTGGGGAAGGCACCCTTGTGCCATAAGAACACTAAGGATCACTGAGGCTGACTTAATCCAGCCAAATGCTCTGGGGGAGGTCACAAATAGGGCACAATAAGGCAAGTGTCCCCCTTACCATCCACCCAGACATACAGTATATGGTTCTGAACAGGGAGAATGAATGTAGTATTGACCACCGTCACCAATGTCATCAGAATCTGATCCAACCTGATATGCATCCTCACTTCAACATCTTAGGATAAATGATCAGCAGCTTTACATTCTCATCTGTAGCCAAACCGTCTTATTCAGCCCATATCATGTCCCAGAAATTCACTCATAGAAAATACTGTGCTCCAGAAAAATTACTTGATGGGAGAAGGCAGACGGAGATTGAATATGGAACCGTATACCTGCAAGGTATTGTGTTATTGAAATCTGGTAGATGCCTTAAATCTAATTTCCCTCTTTACCTATCTATGGACCAGAAATGTTCTTACCATTTTTAAAAATTATATTCTTACATTTCCTCTCTGCCTTATCTTTGGTTTAGATGGTGTCTTGATTACCACTTGAATAATACATTGCTATGCAAATCTAAATTGGACATCTGTGCAGAATTAAGAAATATGATTTTGCTGCTGAAAAAATTGCCTAAATTGATGTGGTTCCCTTGTTCACAGTCCTTTCATAACTCCCTGTTCTGTCTCTGGTCAGGCACTTTCTTTGAAGTTTGCACTGTCGAAGAAGGAAGGAAAATGGTCACATGGGCACCTGTGGCAATGTCAGAACGGTCCACATGAGCCCTGTAATCATCAGGAGATGCCCGCTTCTTGGTCCCACCACCATCACAAATATGGTTGGTGGGAACAAGAAACAGGGCTTTTTGTTGGTAGCCCCGTGGCTCTGGAACTCCCTCCCCAAAGAGGTGCTTTCGGCTGCCTCATTTTTGGCCTTTCACTCCCAGGTGAAAACCTTTTCATGGAAGCAGGCCTTCCCTGACAACACACAATAGCAGCTTATCTTAGTCAGACAAGGCTCATATGGCCAGGACTTGGAGCTCTGAGATGTTTAGTTTAATGTTTTAGGACAATTCTCAGTGGCCTGAGTCATAGGGATTTTAATGTTAAGGTTAATGACAATGACACATGTGGTTATTGTTTTGCTTATATATATTTTATGTAATGTGTTGATTTATTGTTTAACATGTCAGGTTGGAGGGATGATGGTTATCTGCATTTATGTAATTTTGGGGTTTTTTTCTATTTTGTTTGCAGCTTTGAGTTCCATCCATGGGAGAAACATGGGATGATGGTAATAATAATAATAATAATAATAATAATAATAATAATAATAATAATAATAATAATAATAACGGGCCACCTGCATGACCAGCAAGGAGTGGGGTATCACCCTCCTCCTTCATGCTGGACATGTGGCATCCTATTCTGATGCCGTAATTACAGCATGGCACTGTGTGACTGGCTAGGCGCAGCAATGATACACTCACAATATATCCCCTTTCCCATGGCAGATCAGATCAAATCAGATCCAATAACACTGTTCAGACTGCACCAAAGCAATGAGATATTCTGTATTTTGCTGGAAACCCCATAGTATCCTCTGCCTTTGCCCAGGTAAAATTGCTTTAAACCAAGTAACCTTGAGATACTCAAAAGAAGTTGCTTTCTGCCATGAGGAAACCAGGGATCCTTTGTGGTGCTTTGCTAATGTATGACAATTCCAAAGTTGCTTACAATGTTATAAAGCTTCCTTGATTCTCCCCTTGACACGGAAAGTATAACAAGTTGGGAGAGGCTGTGATCCTCAAGATGCAGAGGATCAAGAGTTGACAAATAGAGACATCAGCCAGTAATATGCAAGGAGCTCTTTTGCGGGGGGACTCTCACTTCTTTGCACTAGTTTAAGCTAGACCAAAATTAAACTCATGGTATCCATCAGAGTTTAATCATTGGCTCATGTTTTGCATGTATATGGTTCCATATTCATTCTTTCTTCTTCACAACTTGGTAGCCACAGCCTTTGTGATGACAACTCAAGATAAAAATATGTGAACTAGCTTGGTTTAGGAGGATACATAACTATTATAATTCAGCTTTTTTATGTTCCTGTTTTCAGTGCATATGAAAAAAATATTGTTGTGATTATGTGATCTCCAACAATGAATTAGAGGAATGTAAAACTTTTCCTGATTAGACTACAGTGAAGATAACAAGATCACAAATTTCTAACTTCTGTCCCTATTAAAACAACTACTTCATTTCATTTTGCAAAGACATAATCAATACAAACATTTCTTACCAAGTTCACCAGAGGTCCTCCTGAGTTCCCATACTGCAAAGTAATATCAGAAAATGTTCATGTTCATTTCCGAAAGTGAAAATCACATTTAAGAGACAAATATTGTACTAAAAACACTTCCATCTTCTATAATAATAAATAATAAAAACTTTATTTATGGGCTGCCCTCTCTCCCCAAGGGGATTCAGGGCATTGTCGAAGGCTTTCATGGCCGGAATCACTGGGTTGTTGTAGGTTTTTTCGGGCTATATGGCCATGTTCTAGAGGCATTTTCTCCTGACGTTTCGCCTGCATCTATGGCAAGCATCCTCAGAGGTAGTTAGGTCTGTTGGAACTAGGAGAAAGGGTTTATATATGTGGAATGACCAGAGGGACAAAGGACTCTTGTCTGTTGGAGCTAGGTGTGAATGTTTCAACTGACCACCTTGATTAGCATTTGATGGCCTGGAAGTGCCTGGCGCAATCTTTTGTTGAGAGGTGATTAGATGTGCCTGATTGTTTACTCTCTGTTGTTTTGCTGTTGTAATTTTTTGAGTCTTTTAATACTGGTAGCACAGATATATAAACCCATTTTCCTACTTCCAACAGACCTCACTACCTCTGAGGATGCTTGCCACAGATGCAAGTGAAACGTCAGGAGAAAATGCCTCTAGAACATGGCCATATAGTCTGAAAAAACCTACAACAACACACGGATTCAGGGCAGTTTACACACACAGAAAAGGCAAACATTCAATGGGCATAAGCAAATATAAACACCTTAAAATAATGCAAAATAATGAAAAGTAATAACCGTAAACTTACAACAAAAGATTTTTAACATCAAAATGAAAAACAGAAGATGAGTAATCAAATAAACATAATTATGCTAATAACATAATTAACAATAAAGACATAAACCCTAAGAGAATGATTAAAATACATGAAAATGGTTACCATGGTTTTTCTTTAACATGTACTATAGCAGTTATGTCTCACAAAAAAAAAATTCTGCTACCTCAATGCCTCAGTTTTGTGCAGTTCAGATTAGAAGGTGTTGTTTTGAAAAGTCTGAAAACAGTGCAAATATTAATACCTTCTATGGTTATACTGACTCAAAAGTTTACATTTACTGTCACACTGGAGAATGATGAAAGTGGCTAAAGTGAGTAGAGTCGCTCTCTTTAGTATTCACATTTCCCAGATCTATCACCAAGGCCCCTTCTATACTGCCATGTAAAATCTAGATTGGGTTGTTGTAGGTTTGTTCGGGATATATGGCCATGTTCTAGAGGCATTCTCTCCTGACGTTTCACCTGCATCTATGGCAAGCATCCTCAGAGGTAGTGAGGTCTGTTGGAACTGTTCCTACAACAACCCAGTGATTCCGGCCATGAAAGCCTTCGACAATACAAAATCTAGATTATTTGCTTTGATCTGGATTATATGGCAGTGTAGGCTCATATAATTCAGATCAAAGCAGCTCATGTGGATGATCTGCTTTGATAATCTGGATTATATGACAGTGTAGAAGGGGCTTAAGACGTCCTCAGAGCTGCATAGTCTGAGAAAACAACACAGCTGCCAATAGTGGGACATGAATGAGTCAAGTTAAGCCAATTAGTGAATAGAGACTGGAGCTAAAATCATAATTTGTCCTCAAAGTACATATACAGATTCTTCAAAGTGGTGATCTTATGCAATGATAAAGATTGGAAAGCCTTCCACAAGCTGGTAAACTGCAATCCTCAGCATTTCTCAACCCTTGCTGTGCTGACTGGGGCTAAAAAAGTTTCACTTCAACAACATCTACAAAGCCACATAATTCCGATCCTTGGGCTATGCTCTTTTTCAACATTTCTACAAAAGCAAGTGAAAAAGTGAAGGTCCTTATTTATAACATTAAAAGAGGACACATGTGTTTACTCACATTGATAATAGCATCTGTCTGAATGTAATCCATATCGGAATCCTTCAAGCCCAGCTCTTTCCCGTCTCGTTGAGCTGTACTGACAATGCCTGTTGTCACAGTATTTTGTAAGGCAAAAGGGCTCCCCATTGCCACCACAAATTCCCCAGGCCTCAGATCACCAGACTGCCCGATTGACAGGGCAGGCAGCTTTTTCTGGAAGAAAACACAGATCACAATTCTAATGTACGTAAAGGAATATAATGAACTGTAGGAAGTTTTGCCAAACGGCAAATAATGCTCTTATGACAAAAAGCTATTTATCTCTCATTTCTTACTCTAGACAACATTTAAATCAAAACTTTGGCAAGGATCGGCAGCAATGGAGGCACCAATGGAGTCCTTCTCTACCTCCGTAGTCCCTCTACGGAGGTAGAGGAGATTGGGATATAAAAGTTTTAAATAAATAAATACATTTAACCACATGTATTCTAAAAGGAATGCAATCATTTAAATAAATATGATAGGGGAAGGTTTAAAACACCCTCAACTATCTATGATGGCTACAGAATTAGTCAAGGCCTCTTCCAAATAGCCATATAACCCAGAATATCAAGGCAGAAAAACCCACAATATCTGGTTTGAACTGGAATATCCGAGTCCACACTGCCAAATATCCCAGTTCAAAGCAAAAATGTGGGATTTTATTCAGCTATGTGTGGCCCCCGGTGGCGCAGTGGGTTAAAGCGCTGAGCTTGTTGACCGAAAGGTCGCAGGTTTGATTCTGGGGAGCGGTGTGAGCTTCCGCTGTCAGCCCTAGCTTCTGCCAACCTAGAAGTTCGAAAACATGCAAATGTGAGTAGATCAATAGGTACCGCTCCGGCGGGATGGTAACGGTGCTCCATGCAGTCATGCCAGTCACATAACCTTGGAGGTATCTATGGACAACGCCAGCTCTTTGGCTTAGAAATGGAGATGAGCACCACACCCCAGAGTCAGACATGACAGGACTTAATGTCAGGGGACAACCTTTACCTTTTACTATTCAGCTATGTGGAAGAGGCCTAAGTGAAAACGCGATATAAAGCTGCATGCTACACATTAAACAGTCTATAATTTGAGTCAATGTTACCATTATCTGGTTTGCTGGATGCCACTTTCCAAACTTGATCCTCTGTCCCTTTGGCCCAATCAAATTGATAATTTGGGTCTCAATCTGTCTGGCCACAGAGACTTAATTTATCCAATGTTGCAGAAAGGTTGGGAGGGGGAAAAAAGCATTACGATGGTCTCGAAATGTAAGTAAGAGTTTGGAACAGATCCGAAGCAAACTACTAATATCCTGCTCTTGTCATTGTGTTTGCTCGGGATCTGTTCCAATTCTCTTACTCTAATCCACAATTAATGTTGGATGCTGTTCCCGAATTCCCAAATACCCATGAACAACATATAAATCAAGAAAACGCCATTCTCAAGTTATAAAAGCTATTCAAGTGAAAAGAAAATTTGGATGAGTAAACAGAGAAAGGAACATGAGCACATTTGTTCAGTTACTTCTTATGGCAGCAAGACATTATCAAGCTGAATGGGTTTCTTTTATTAACCATAACTATTAAAGAAAAAAATAATAGGTGAACAAGAAACTTAGGCTGGATTTACACTGCCCTATATCCCAGGATCGGATGCCAGATTATCTGCTCTGAACTGGATTATAGTAGTCTGCACTGCCAGATAATCTGGGATAAGAAGATAATCTGGGATCAGATCCTGGTATATAGGGCAGTGTAGATGCAGCCACAGAGCTGCTCCTCCTCCTGCTTTTGTTTTCCTCATTCTCTAGGAAAATGATAAATATGGTGTGAAGAAGGATGGGGAAAAATGAGTAGTGGCATTTGGTTACATATGTCCTCCCACCAAACTACACTCCTGGTTTCCGAGAAACTGCACTTACGGTACATCAGGGGTCCTCAAGCTATGGCCCGTGGGCCGGATACGGCCCTCCAAGGTCATTTACCCGGCCCTCGCTCAGGGTTAACCTAAGTCTGAACCAACTTGAAAGCAAACAACAACAATTCTATCTCATCAGCCAAAAGCAGGCTCACATTTCCCACTGAAATACTAATAAGTTTATATTTGTTAAAATTGTTCTTCATTTTAATTATTGTATTGTTTTTCAGTGTTTTTTTTTTTTTGCACTACAAATGAGATATGTACAGTGTGCATAGGAATTCATTCATATATATTTTTTCAAATTATAATCCGGCCCTCCAACAGTTTGAGAGACTGTGACTTGGCCTTCTGTTTAAACAGTTTGAGGACCCCTGCGGTACATTGTAGATACCGTTTCTCTACTTACCCGTGGATTGATCTTTATTGTTGCGATGTCAGACTTCTTATCAATGTCTTTGATTTTTGCTTCGTAAGTATCTCCATCTTGTAATTGCACTTTTAACTGTTGCCGCCCAGTCACCGTACTACTGCTAGACACAACATGGGCATTGGTCACAATTAAACCTGTATCTGACATAATAAACCCAGATCCACTGGAAAGAGGAACATTGTGACCAAACAGAGGGTGCCTGTTAAAAATGAAGAAAAAGAAGCCATAAAGTTAAAGCAGTTTCCAGAAAAACTGAAGTAATGCAATCATCTGCATTATTTTCCCGGAAGTATCCAAAGAAAACTGTCGTTTATCTATAAATATTGCTGAAACCGTGGAGTTGTTAAGATGTCCTAAGAGATGAACAAATCCACGACACATGTAAATTAAAAGCAAACTTCTAGTCTAAGATATTGAAGAGATAACAGAACCACAAAAATCTGAAACATGAAAGATTTTGTATGAAACAACTATCTTCCTGGATAATAGAAGTTTCATTTATTTTCAATAGAACTACAGTGAAAAAAAATGGGAAACCTAAGTGACACAACCCAGATACACTGTTATCATATAGGGAATGCTAGGAAAAATAAACAAACATATATTTTGGACAAAACTACTACTGTTTTTACTTCTAAAATACAACTAACTCACCGCAGGAAAAGTTCAATATGGACAACTGCTGGTGCTATCTTCTCCACCACATCTGCAATGAAGTTAAACCTAAACCGTGGGCTGTTCAGTTGCTGATGACCTGTACTAGCAAAGAGAAGTGGACATCTCTTAAGAAATTAGCACATTTTATTATTTGTAGAAAAATAACACTAACTAATAATAACAGATTATATTTGTTACCCATCTCTCCTCATGGATTGAGGCAGATATAATACTGTTAAAATACATTGATAAAACAAAGGACCATTAAAAACATATATTAAAAAAACATAACAAAGATCAAAACACCTTTTTCTTCATGTCAGGAGCGACTTGAGAAACTGCAAGTTGCTTCTAGTGTGAGAGAATTGGCCATCTGCAAGGATGTTGCCATGGGGATGCCCAGATGCTTTACCACCCTGTGGGAGGCTTCTCTCATGTCACCGCATGGAAAGCTGGAGCTGACAGATGGAAACTCACCTCGCTCCCCATATCTGAACTGCTGACCTTTCAGTCAGCAGTTCATCCATCACAAGGGTTTAACCCATTACACCACTAATGGAGCTCCCAGTGCCGGCAGGACTAAAGACCGATAGGTAAGAGGTTCGAATCCAGGGAGAATATGGATGAGGTCCATCCGTCAGCTCTAGCTCTCCATGCAAAGACATAAGAGAAGCCTCCCACGAGGATGATAAAACATCAAAACATCCGGGCATCCCCTGAGCAATGTCCTTGTCCCCTGAGCAATGTCCCTCACATCAGAAGTGACTTGCAGTTTCTCAAGTCGCTCCTGACATGGAAAAAAAAAGTACTAATAAAATGTAAATTTAAAATTCATAGATTAAAATTGATTGATTTGACCTGCCATAAGGTCTTTAATGTGTTTTACATTCTGAGAGCTTGTTTAGCTGTCAAATCTCTTTTAGTAGGTCATTCTACAGTCTGGGGTGTGGCAGTAAAAAGATCCTCTGAATGACACTTGGCAGTTGGGTTCTGGATGGTTAACGTAAACATCCCCCAGAGGATCTAGGTTCACAGGGTGGATTGTACAGGAGAAAGGAATCCTATAGGTAACCTGGACCCAAAACATGTAGGACTTTAACACAGCAGATTAATCACCAGCTGCAGCTACAGTAAATCTTGCCAACCAAAAAGAATGACAGTTTGAAGCCGGGTTAGGGTGAGCTCCTGACCTTCAGCCCAGCTCTCCACCCATCTAGCGGATCAAAAACACAATGTGAGTAGATTAATAGGAACTGCATTAAGCGGGGAAGTATTTTAGATATGACATTTAAGCAAAAGAAGGAAAGTTTATGAACAAAGAAAACTCTTTGGCAAGGAAATGGCGTGACATCACCCCCCTGTGGCCAGAACCGAGCACAGCCTCCAAAGATGCTGAAAAATGGAGGAAAGCCTATGTAATAACTCTATCTGTTATCTGCCTTGTCATTGTATAATCGATATTGAATGTTTGCCGTATATGTGTTCTGTGATTCGCCCTGAGTCCCTTTCGAGGTGAGAAGGGCGGAATTTACATAAATACTGTAAATAAAAATAAATAAATTGAAAGGTCAAAACCAACACTTTGTACCTTGTCCAGAAATTGAGAATCAGTAGAGTACTTTTAGTATAGGTGTAATATGTTCACTTCTGTATGCACCTCTGTCTTATATAGATTCAGTTTAAATTTGTTTTTCTCCATCCAGTTCCTGCAGCCATTCATTCAGAGGAGACACACAATCCTTAGCTGTTTTTGAAGACGACTCTTACACAAACAGGCACTTCCATGAAAAATGTAGGCTTCTGTTATACTTAGTGTGAATGTCACTTTCCTATAAGTTATTATTTGAAGATTATATATGTGTGTCCCATCTTTTTTTCCATGAGCAGCACACATGATTCCCTGCCCCACGTCATCTGATCTTCACAGAAGTTATACAAAGGTGGTTTGGTTAGACAGACCGATTGACCCAAGGTCACGTGTCTACATATGTCTAAAAGTGCTGTGCAGAATGTTTATATCCTGCACAGTACTTCAAAACACAACTTTGCAGTGAATCACCAAGTGTAAAACATAGCCTTAGGAAAGAAGAGCTTTTGACTACAACATCTGAGATCCTAGCAAACCACATGATACATTTGCAAGTGTGTGTGGTCCTTTCTCTATTTCTGTTTAGGTATTTTGCAAAACTGTGTTTGGGTTTTAAAAAAATTGCAGTGAGCCAGCAATAGTGGCTTCACCATGGAGAAGTGATGTTCTGTTATCACTGGTACTGGTAACATGGCCTCAGATGACAAAAACAGGTTACTTTCCTCCCCCAACTTCACATGAAAAGTGTCTTTGATGGCCTGATAATTCTGTCCTTTCCATATTTTGATCATGAACCAGATTGGTCATTAAAAGGGAGAGGAAGAGAAGGGAGACAAGTATTAAATAACGTGTATACCTGTGTATGTGTTGACTTCATGTAATTGAGGGCAAGTTTTGGGGCAAAATTAAAGTTTTTAATATGACCCACAGTTATGCTGAGTTTCATTCTATGGAGAGGAAAAAACTGGCAAGCTTCCCCACCTGACCCTGGACACTGTTCCTATCAGTTTCCTAGCCAAATAGTTGAAAGGGCCTTCTGCCATTCTACTCAGGGAAATTGGTGGTTCCTTTTTATATAAGAGTCTAGGTACAATACTCACATTCAAAACCTAAGGTTTTTTTTTGGGGGGGGGGGGTCACTCAAATTTCTAACTTATATGTGACTAAATATAGCATTTTAAGTACAGACGAGCCAGTATGGTGTTGTGGTTTGAACATTCGATTAGATTATGACTCTAGAGATCAGAGTTCGAATCTCGGCTTAGCCATGAAACCCACCCTGGGCAAGTCACACTTTCTCTACGGCAAGCAATGGCAATGTTTCTAAAATTATCTTCCCAAGCAATTATTGTGATAGGTTTGTTTTGGGTCAGAAACAACTTGAAGACACGCAGCAAAACCAATGAATCAGTGCAGAATATTGAATAAAAAACTAATATTTGTTTCTATTTCAGGCATGCCCTTTGCACAACTGCTTTGTCCATTGATTTCGTGTTAGAAATCAAACAGAGAGTGAAGTCAAATTTTCTTTCCTTCTCCCAAGAAGGAAAAATAAGTCTTGAAATGTCTTTTCAAGCTTACTCGGTCCCATTCCTTTCACACATTTCCTCTGAAAACTACTAGGAAACAGCACAACCATAAATATGTTGAACCAGAAGTGCATAGCAAAAGGGCACCATGGGTATACTCAAACTAGGCTATCCAAGCTGACAGTCACCTTTAGTTTTCCAGTTAGTCTCAATAAGGAGCAGACCCGTAGCCAGAATTTTGATTCCGGGGGGGGGGGGGGGGGGGGGGGGGGGGGGGGGGGGTGAGTTTGATTCAGATGGGCTGAGTCTGAATGAAAGAGGGTCTACCCTAGCAAACCTTTTGTATCGTTACCCCAATACCCACATGCATATATGGGATATATTGAGTATGGTGATTAGATCATGATATGAATAAACATAACAGTTTAAATAATGTACCAGTAAGGCCTTTTCGCGAACCACCATGAGAATTTCGGGGGGGCTGAAGGCCCTCACCCGCCCCCCCCCCCCCCCCCCCCCCCCCCCAGCTACATGCCTGATAAGGAGCTACCAGTAGAGTTTCAATTAAGGGTTGTACGGGATGTTGCCATAATTTTTACAGAAAACAAAAAAAAATCTCCAGTCAAAAAACAAGAATGCTATTCTCAAGTAATGGTGGCAAGGGAAGGTGCAATAAAAAGGCAAAATAATTCCAAAACTTGGGATATCAAAGAGAGAGGGAATATCAGGAGAGGCTGGTAAGGGATGGTGCCCAGTTATGCTTTTGCACACCTGTCTGCAAAAAAAATGAAGTGAAATAACTATGAAACTGATTTTGGGCCATGAACTATCTGCCCAGGTGTGGATGACTCAGAGGGGCAAAAAAGCTCTCGGAAACAGCTCAAGCAATTTCTTAAGAAGTTTAGTCGGATCACTTCTTTCAATTGGACTACTTACTTTTTTAAAGTTACAAATTATTTTTAAGTGCCAGGATGTTTTTGTTTTTCTGGCATAATGCTTATTCTGGGTGCTCCTGTTTGCTCAAAAAGGAGTAAAAAGCATAATAATTAACACCATACAAGGTTCCCAGAAGAGGCAGGAAAATGTTTTTCTTTTTCTAAAGACATTACGTGTTTGTTTTGCTTGACTGGAAAAGCCCATCTGCTCTCTGGCCCAGGAAGACATCACTATTCTGAACTAGAAATGGAAATTTTTCAGAACACTTTAAGCTCTCGCGTCCCAAGAAGACATATTGTTGTCTAAAAATATCATTTCTACTTTACAGTGTCTTAGTGCTGAAAATAAAGAAAGTGATAAATACTTCAAAAGGGAAGAAACATATAGTCCATTAGGGCTGGATCTGGACTTCTCTATATCTCAGGATCTGATCACAGATTATTTGAAGAGAGATATTGACAACTGAAGAGAAATATTGACAAGATACTGACAACTGAAGAGAGATATTGACAAGCTGGAATGTGTCCAGAGGAGGGCGACTAAAATGATCAAGGGTCTAGAGAACATGCCCTGTGAGGAACGGCTTAAAGAGCTGGACATGTTTAGCCTGAAGAAGAGAAGGCTGAGAGGAGACATGATAGCCATGTATGAATACGTGAGAGGAAGTCATAGGAAGGAGGGAGCAAGCTTGTTTTCTGCTGTCGTGGAGACTAGGATGCGGAACTTCCTGACTGTGAGAGCCGTTCAACAGTGGAACTCTCTGCCCCGGAGTGTGGTGGAGGCTCTTTTAAACAGAGACTGGATGGCCATCTGCCAGGAGTGCTTTGAATGCAATTTTCCTGCTTCTTGGCAGGGGGTTGGACTGGATGGCCCATGAGGTCTCTTCCAACTCTATGATTTTATTATTGTATTTCTGCATCTCAGATGCGTGACCGCATCTCTGTATACGAACCCACACGGTCTCTTTGATCATTTGGAGAGGCCGTGCTCGTGATCCCACCTGAATCGCAAGCACGATTGGTGGGGACGAGGGACAGGGCCTTC